GCAGGGCACGAGAAGCACAGTCCAGAGTGTATCTTCCCTGCAATTGCGACCTTCTACTTGTGAATCTCAAGGCAATCACGGTTTCCATCTTTTTTAATTTTTTTTCCATTGAAAAATGAAAAGAAGGAAGAGGATTGGGGCAGTTGCGGAATAAAGGCAGATGCACTCTCGGGCTTGCACTTTTTTTTTTTTTTTTTTTTTTTTTGAAAAGGGTTAACGATATATTTCAAAAATGTGGTCTTGGGACGAGGTCGGGGACCTCACAATTCAACCCGGAGTTATCCTGGCAGCATCAGCCAGTTTCGCTTTTGCCGGAAACCGGGTCCGGCGTCCCAGACTACTTCTAAATCACTTTCCAAAAARKTGTAAATCTTGAAGCACAATTAAAAGGGCCTCCCTTTGGAGGGCTATCCTAAGARCTGGTTATATAAACCTTGAAGTACTGTTAAAGGAAATTACTTAAAATCCAAGTTAGCTAAACCAAAGGTCAAGCATTTCTCMMTCATTGAGCTAAACCAAGAGCTGAAGAGAAATCCAGGACTAACAGCTGTCCTACTAGGAAACAGTGTCACAGCCTAAAAATGGCTACTTAATCATGGGTGTCCGATAGCCACGTACATAAGGTCATCTTTCCTTCTTGATTCACCCAGGCAAGCCTATTAGCCCCGRCCCAGGTTTTCAGGAACCAGTGGGCTCCTCTCCTGTGCCAGTCAGCCCGAACCAGTGGCTTGCACTTTCCAGCAATCGGACTCCACTAACCGCCCGCTACACCTGAATCTAGGGCAATCACGTAGTGCACCTGTTTTCTCCTTCTTTTTTCCTTGCAACTAAAAAAAAGACCAAAGATCTTGGTTGTATCTGAGCTGACTCCCCGTTTCGCACGGGGAGCATTCAWYTGCCTGCCCAAAACTGAATGCATATGGCAGAGCACGGGAAGCACAGTCGACAGTGTATCTTCCCTGCAATTGCGGCCTTCTACATGTGAATTCAAGGCAATCATATCATGTAGTCGTTTTCCCGTTTCTGTTTTTTTTTTACAATGGCTGATCTCTCCAGAATGTATCTGACTGCACTTGTGGCCACGGCCACCACGCCCAGGGTGCTGCACGAGTGAAAACGACGGGCGGTACCAGTGCCACTCCAGAAAGTATCCCAAATAGTTTCCGCCCCCTCCAGGCTCGGCAACACTTGGGGCGCAGGCAAAAATGAGGATTGGGCCTCAACAACCGGTAGGTACTGGTGGTTTAAGCAACCAGACTACCTAGGCTTAAGCCAGTCAGACGCCACCAACTTACCTTCTGTTGAGACTGATGCAAGTACCTTGTTTCGGACCCAAGTTCTGAGAAACCTGGGACGGCCTCTACCCTAGCGTTCCCCACTTTTTTTCCAGTCCACCCGTACGATTAGTCTGATGTTCGATATAATAAACCTGTTGTTGCTGGCGAAGCACTCTCTTCTATCCTCTGAATACTGCGTCGTTTCTTGCTTGCCAAATTTCCTTCATGATTACCCCTCTGCAAACCAATGCCACGTAACCCCATCCGTCTGACAAGTTAAACTTATTAGATGGTAAAACTCCGTAGAGCATCCAGACGTGTGACCATGGGAAACCTTGACCCACCAAACTAGTCCACAGATGGGACCACCACATCCCTACTTCATCCGCCAGTGGGCAGTGAACCCACAGGTGGGCGTTGGACTCCCACCCCYGCTCACACCTAGTGCACRTGCCACTTCCTTACCCTTGGACGACAACCAGATAGTCGTAGGGACAACCATCAAAGCCTGCATCCACATCAAGCTAGCGTTTTTCTGTGAGGGAATCGCTCTCAAGGCTTTCCACAACGAAGGCCAATCTAGTTGTGGCCCCTGTGGATCCCTAAAATTGCACAATYTTCCCCTAGCTACAGATGTAGGTGTGCGGGCTTTGTTGGTTTGAAGGTACAGCGGAAGGTTAAAATATAAGACTGAGTGTAGATTCAGGGACAACGGTCAACTAGAAAGTTCCCGGTAGAGCGAGAAGACCTTTCTACGCCTTCCCACTTACTGAGCTGTCGTTACCCGGTCTTAAACCCCGACATCTTTCTACCAAGTCTCACGTCCCCACTAAGCTAGGTCAYATAATTGCGCGATCTGGCTTCGACATTTATAGAACTATAAAYGTTAAGGTCTTCAGAGAGAGAGAGCGTAAGGTWCGTGAGAGACTTAGACAGGGAGACCACATGCCGAATTCCATTCTAAGGAACATCAGTCCGGTTCCTACCAACTTGAGATACGAGGAAAACTCACACACAGTCCTCCCCGTTTTGGGTGGGAGGCCTGAGTAGACGGCATTGGTATCTTTGCTGCGGAAGGATATACCACCTCTCCCCTCGGCATAAGTTATCCTATTCTACTTTTCGCCCTTTGCTGCCCTGAACCCCGCTCATTATCTAAGTACCAGCCCTAAGTTACCTTCCCTGACGAAGCATGTACCACCTCACCCCCCTGCATAAGTTACCTTACTCTACTTTCCGCTCTTTGCTGCCCATTTCCGCCCCTCGCTGCCCTAAACCCCGCTCATTATCTATGTAGCAGCCCTAATGAGGAAGAACTCTGAAACCACGGAGGTGGGGGTTACACCAGTGCTTTGAGGACTGTAACTGACCAGTATGTGACGACCGTGAGAGGTCCTTAACGAGTATGTGAGTTATCATATTCTACTTTCCGCCCTATGCTGCCCTGAACCCCGCTCATTATCTAAGTACCAGCCCTAACTAGGAGGGGCATGCGTGTGTTATGTAAAGCATCAGTAGTAGATGGCATTACTTCCCCGACGAATTGTGAGGTTCCCGGCCTTAAGTACGTGGGGGTTACACCAGTGCTTTGAGAAATGTATCTGACCAGTATGTGAGGACCGTGAGATGTGGTTTTCATTTTTTGCTTTTTTGTCGTGAGGTCCTTGTAGCGCCCTGCCAGCCAGACAGGGCGGATTCCACGCGAGGCTGCTAACTGCCTCGCTTCAATTCAGTTCCCGACAAGTACCGTACCATCCAKCCAAAAACGAAGYTGATTGACTKGARCGCGAAGCAGCGGAGGGAGAAACTGTGCTCCAAGCGTTCAGGTGGACAAGAGAGCMTTATTGGTTMTGCACYMRAACGTTGGTTGCGTCGCTTTTATGAACTCAAATTCAACTTCWGTTAGAGAATCTTGGCAATTCCTAAAGGTTTAGCGAGGCAGAGGGAGAAACACTGCTTCAAATCGATTTGTAGTCCTTTGTAATGCGACTTTGCTGTCTGAAGTGCATTGCAACCTGCAACAACGGATCAGTTATTTGGATCATCTTCTTTTTAGGACTGAGTCTCAGCTCCTCCAAGCAAGCTTGCTTTGTGTCAGCCATCTTTTCGAAACCTTTCTCTACAAAAAATCGCCGCCAGCACTTCAACTTTTCAACCAAAGAAAAATCTTTGTGGAAATCATTGGAAACAAAGACCGCATCCTGTTTCGAGTTTCACGCTTGTGCCCCCGGTCCCTTACAAAAACTTTGTAACCAGGGGACAACGACCTCTTCTCGTCAATTGCATGAACAGTTCTTGCTTGCTTCCGAGGACATCCAAACGGGTTCCCCTTGAGCGACGTGATGATTATTTGCACACATAGCTCGTTCGGTGCACGAATCTCGAGAGGTCTCTGGCCCTGTAGGTTTTGAGGTGGCCGTTGCAAACAGTCCATGTGGAGACGAACCTCACATACCTTCTTAGAAGCAATCTCAAATACTAACGGAGGAGGGGGAGGATAAGGAGGTGGTTTTTTTGCAACCTGTCCCCATCTCCTGCTCCCCATCTTCTTCTTTCTTTTATTTTCCCTCCTTTTCTTTTCACTCTTCTCTGTCCTCCTCTCTGTCCTCCTCTCTATCCTTCGCTCTATCCTCCTTTCTGTCCTTCTCTCTATCCTCCTCTCTGTCCCGCTCTCCCTCCTCTTCCTCTTCCTCTCTTTCTTCCTCCGTATCCTCTCCCTCACCCATGTTATCTCCATCCCTTTACCCCACCTCCGGTGCCTCCATCTCAGCGTCATCCTCCTCATCCTCGAGCGTCCATCCAGATTCCTCTCCCCCTTTCTATCCTCTTCATCCTCTTCCTCCTCCTCARCGTCTTCCTCCTCTTCATCTCCATTGCTGCCAAGTATTACATTTAAATCTTTGTTCAGAGGGACTCGCTGGRCACAATTACCTAAGGGTGTAATCTTACTCATTGTCRGCTTTCTTCCTGCTCCTTATCTACTTAGACCACCCTCTTCTYTGTCCTCCTCTCTGTCCTCCTCTCTGTCCTTCGTTTTATCCTCCTCTCTATCCTCCTCTCTGTCCTTCTCTTTGTCCTCCTCTTTGTCCCCCTCTCCCTCCTCTTCCTCTTCCTCTCCTCCTTCCTCCGTATCCTCTCCCTCATCCATGTCATCTTCATCCCTTTGCCCTAGTAGACTGTCAGTTGGAATCTTATATTTATATGTCTTTTCCTTCGGTGCTAGGAGAGCCTCGTTGGTTACTTCTGTTTAGCAACATTGATTTATAGGACTATGAATCGACTTAGCTTTAAGTCAGCACCCACCGCTATAGGGGCCCAAATTGTTCAAGGGGACATCACGAGATCGTCTAGAGATCGTCCGTTCTTTGACTCCTCTGTTTCCGAGTGCAGGCTTCAGTTGACTAGACTTGTAGAAATCACGCAAAACAGCTACCGACATTTTCACCGCTTGTTCAGAGGGACTCGCTGGGCACACTGCTCCTTATCTACTTAGACCACCCTCTTCTCTGTTCTCCTCTCTGTCCTTCGCTTTGTCGTCCTCTCTGTCCTTCTCTTTGTCCTCCTCTTTGCCCCCCTCTCCCTCCTCTTCCTTTTCCTCTCCTTCTTCCTCCGTATCCTCTTCCTCACCCTTATCATCTTCATCCCTTTGCCCCTCCTCCGGTGYCGTCATCTCARCGTCATCCTCCTCTTCATCCTCCTCTTCATCCTCACTTTCATCCTCCTCGTCCTCCAGCATTCCATCCTGATTCCTCTCCCCCTCTTTATCCTCTTCATCCTCTTTCTCCTCCTCCTCGTCTTCCTCCTCTTCATCTTCACTGCTGCCAATGCGAAGTATTACATTTAAATCATTGTCGCCCTTCTCTACATACACTTGCCCCTCGTCATCTTTTTCAAACCCTTCTCTACAAACTACTGTCGTCCGTCGTCTTTTTAAAACCCTTCTCTACAAACGCTTGTCATCCGTCATCTTTCTGCTCCGTATATACAAAGAAAACCCGCGTAGAAGAAGAGTGAACAGGAGTCATTTCATTGTGTACAGGCTTGTGTTGTCTAGGCTCCTCTTTCTGCTCCGTATTTACAAAAACCACCCACTTTTTTGTCCTCCTCTCTGTCCTCCTCTTTATCCTTCGCTCTATCCTTCTTTCTGTCCTTCTCTCTGTCCTCCTCTCTGTCCCACTCTCCCTCCTCTTCCCCTTCCTCTCCTTCTTTCACCGTATCCTCTCCCTTACCCCTATTATCTTCATCCTTTTACCCCACCTCCGGTGCCTCCATCTCAGCATCCTCCTCCTCGTCCTCCAGCATCCATCCTCATTCCTCTCCCCCTTTCTATCCTCTCCATCCTCTTCAACCTCTTCCTCCTCCTCATCGTCTTCCTCCTCTTCATCTCCACTGCTGCCAAGTATTGCATTTAAATCATTGTCGCCCTTCTCTACAAACACTCCGCTGTCGTCTTTTTCAAACTGTTTTCTACAAACGTTTGTCGTCCATCGTCTTTTTGAAACCTTTCTCTACAAATGTTTGTCGTCCGTCGTCTTTTTGAAACCCTTCTCTACAAACGCTTCCCACCCGTCATCTTTTTAAAACCCTTCTCTACAAACGCTTGATGCAGTTTACAAACCTCTTTGGAGTGCATTGCAGCCTACAGCAACGGATCAATTTTCTGGAACAGCTTCTTTTTAGGTCTGAGATCGAGTTCCTCCAAATAAGCTTGCTTTACGCCCGTCGTCTTTTTGAAACCCTTCTCTACAAACATTCAAAAGAGAAACCACTGTTTCAACCTTTAACATGAATAACAAGTGTGGCGTGTGACTCCCAACCAACTTTGTTCTCAAACTTCCCGTACAGGATCCTTGTGGCTTTCCAAAATACCTTTAAGAAGCCGGCTTCACTCCCGTCCTACCAGACTTACAGCAGCAGCTTCAACGCTTGTCGTCCGTCGTCTTTTGCCGTCCGTAGTCTTTTTCAAACCCTTCTTTACAAACATTTGTCTTCCATCGTCTTTTTGAAACCCTTCTCGACAAATGTTTGTCATCCGTCGTCTTTTTGAAACTCTTCTCTAAGAATGTTTGTCGCCCGCCGTCTTTTTGAAACCCTTCTCTACAAATGTTTATCGTCCGTCGTCTTTTTGAAACTCTTCCCTACAAATGCTTGTCGTCCGTGGTCTTTTTTAAACCCTTCTCTACAAAGCAGTACCAGATTGATCTCCTGTGCCACAGGATCCAACTGCTTGTTTCAAGTATGGTTTATGACCAAGAATTTGGTCCGATGCTAAAAGTGGCGATCCCAAGGCATGCTAAGGAATTACTGAGCACTCCAGTGAAAGCAATGAACAAAGTTTTGGTATTTGATTCGACGTCATTCCACGGGTGGAGCAAAGAGAGCATTGAGTACTGCATGGAGAATGTGCGATTCCATTCAAATGTAACTGAGACGATGATGGCTGAGACTGTACTCTCTGCAGCATCCAGAGGCATAGCGGACCCACTGTCAAGGGACAACTTGCAAGAAATACTCGAATGATACGTCAACCTGGCATTTGTAGAGCCTTGCATTGTGAGATATAGGATTAAGCCGCTGCAAATCTTGAGACCACAGGTTCTAACTGCAGTTTACAAAACTTTTTCTATGAACACTTAACGTCCGTCATTCCTTCTCTACAAACGTTTGTCGTCCGTCGTAGGAATAGTGATGATTGCAAATCTTCATCTCAGCTCTTGTTGCGGGAAAGAGGGTGGAAGGCATGCTGAGGAATTGTTGAGCATTGCTGTGGAAGCAATGAACAAAGTTTTGGTGTTTGATTCGACGTCATTCCAAGGGTGGAGCACAGAGAGCATTGTGTACTGCATGGAGAATGTGTGATTCTATTCAAATGTAACTGAGACGGTGATGGCTGAGGTTGTTCTCTCTGCAACATCCAGAGGCATAGCGGGCTCACTGTCAAGGGATGACTTGCGAGAAATACTCGAATGTCACGTCAGCCTGGCATTTGTAGAGCCCTGCATTGTGAGATATAAGATTGAGCCGCTGCAAATCTTGAGGCCACAGGTTCTRACTGCAGTWTACAAAACTTTCTCTACAAACGCTTGCCGTCCGTCGTCTTTTTRAAACCCTTCTCTACAAACRTTYGCYGTCCGTCGSAGGAATAGGGATGATTGYAAATCTTCATCTCAGCTCTTGTTGCGTGAAAGGCGATGGAAGGCATGCTGAGGAATTGTTGAGCACTACTGTGGAAGCAATGAACAAAGTTTTGGTATTTGATTCGACGTCCTTCCACGGGTGGACCAAAGCGAGCATTGAGTAGTGCATGGAGAATGTGCGATTCMATTCAAATCTAACTGAGACGATGATGGCTGAGGCTGTTCTCTCTGCAGCATCCAGAGGCATAGCGGGCTCACTGTCAAGGGACGACTTGCGAGAAATACTCGAATGTCACGTCAGCCTAGCATTTGTAGAGCCTTGCATTGTGAGATATAGGATTGAGCCGTTGCAAATCTTGAGGCCACAGGTTCTAACTGCAGTCTAGAAAACTTTCTGTACAAACGCTTGCCGCCCGTCGTCTTTTTGAAACCCTTCTCTACAAACGTTTGTCGTCCGTCGTAGGAATAGGGATGATTGCAAATCTTCATCTCAGCTCTTGTTGAGGGAAAGATGGTGGAAGGCATGCTGAGGAATTGTTGAGCACTATTGTGGAAGCAATGAACAAAGTTTTGGTATTTGATTTGACGTCATTCCACGGGTGAAGCAAAGATAGAATTGAGTACTGTATGGCGAATGTGCAATTCCAGACTCTGACAAATAATTTATGCTACACGTATGCGGTTGCACAAGATCAGTTTCAGTTGCGTGGGACCCCGCGCATCATTTTGTAGAGAAGCGTTTCACAAAGACGATGTCTTTTGATGATTCGCCAGTTCCAACATATCGGTCTCAATGATTTTCACATCACCGCATGCTCCCTTGTGCTTCACTTCTTTCTTTTCAACCATTGTCGGATGTAATGATGCCCAACCTCCGCTTCCTTCACAAAATGTTGCGAGGGCTTCAATCCTGGACGAAATGTTGATCCAGACACTGTTGTTGACTAGGGGATYTGCCATCCTACCGRCTTCGAYTTTTATGTATGCAGTCACGCTGGCATCAAGGGAACGAGCCGGCCGGCACATAACACTTTCCGGCATGTTGAAAACAACCTTGGCTCTGATGCCTTCCAGACTCTGACAAATAATTTATGCTACACATATGCGGCTACACAAGGTCAGTTTCAGTTGTGTCGGACCCTACGCATCATTTTGTAGAGAAGCGTTTCACAAAGACGACGTCTTTTGATGATTCGCCAGTTCAAACATATCGGTCTCAATGACCTTCACATTACCGCATGCTTCCTTGTGCTTCACCTCTTTCTTTTCAGCCATTGTCGGATGTATTGATGCCCAACCTCCGCTTCCTTCACAAACTGTTGCGAGGGCTTCGATCCTGGACGAAATGTTGATCCAGACACTGTTGTGGACTAGGGGATCTGCCATCCTACGGACTTCGACTTTTATTCATGCAGTTAAGGGAACGAGTCGGCCGGCACAAGACACTGTCACAGTTTTTAGGCCTACAAACCTCAAAGTCTACAAACGGTTCGTTGTGTGCATAACTTCTATGTTTGTAGTTTATAGGACTATAAACTTCCAAGTCTGCAAAATGTTCGCTGTGTACGCGGCTTCTGTGTTCACAGTTTCTAGGACTCTGCAAATCGTTGACTGTGTACGCAGGCTCTGTGTTTTCTGTTTTAGGACTTAAACTGTAAAGTATGGAATCCTTACAATGTTAAGGGAAATATTGTGTGTGGTTGTGGTTCGACAAAAGCGAAGGGAAAGCCTTTCACGATGCCTGTTGGAGGCTCGAAGAGGAAGCCAGAAGCGTCGCATACCACTCCACCGCAACCAGTGGGCGCAGCAGACACAAGTGTTGGGATTAAGAAGAAAAAAGTAAAGATCTTGGTGAAGTCATCGACGTCCTCGAAACGCAAGCGGAATGCTCAACAAAACCTGCATTTACCGGCGGAGCTCGCTGAAGATGAGGAGTCTAAGGAGCTTGCACGTATGTGGAAGGAGTTAGAAGAGATTGCTTCTAAAAAGGTATCAAAGAACTCCTTTCGTCTCCTCTTGGACTGTTTGCACAGACCGCCCGAGAACCTGCAGGGTCAAAGACCCCTCGAGATCCGTGCGCCGAACGAGGTACGTGTGCAGACAATCATCGCTTCGCTCAAGAAGAACCTTTTTTTGTGGTTCTTCTTGAGCGAAGCGATGATTGTTTGCATGTACCTCGTTCCGCGCACGGATCTCGAGGGGTCTCTAGCCCTGCAGGTTCTCAGGCGGCCTGTGCAAACAGACCATGTGGAGACGAAAGGAGTTCTCTAATACCTTTTTAGAAGCAATCTCTTCTAACTCCTTCCAGATACGTGCGAGCTCCTCAGACTCTTGTTGGTCTAATCGACCAGGGGGAAGCAAATACTGTTGACGCAGTTGACGAGCAGAGATTGTTGTCCGGTGGTTACAAAGTTTTTGTGTTGGGCGGATGGCGCACACGCGAAGCTCGGGATCAACTGCGGTCTTCATTTTCAAAGGTTTCCGCATTCCAGCACTCGAACTGCTATATCTACGCAGGCCTCACTCTGGAGGAAGCCAGAAACGTGGCCCACGAACACAACTGCATTGCTGGGCTCCCTAGAGACTTCTCCTTGGCTGAGAAGTTGAAGTGTTGGCAGCAAGTTTTTAAAGAGAAAGGTTTCAAAAAGACAGCTTGCTTGGAGGAGCTCGGACTCAGACCTGAAAAGAACCTGCTCCAGAGAACTGATCCGTTGCTGCAGGTCGCAATGTGAAGGTCATTGAGACCGATATGGTGGAATTCCAAGGTCGTCCGAACTGATTACGCCTATACTATTTATTGTGTTTCCGCTGCGGCGAGCCTCTGGAAAAAGACGATAAGGTAGCGACTGAAGTCAGGAGAAACTCTCTGACAAAACAAAATCTTCAGTTCAATCTCCGTTTGAAACCCGAACATTTTTTGTGGTCGTGCGGACATTCCCCCTACCCACTTGTTCTTCCGGCGAGCCTCGGGGAAGATGACAAGCTAGTGACTGCACTCATGAAAAGGTTTAGAAACTCTCCGAAGATCGAACCGGAAGAACAGTGAGGAAAATGTATGCACGAGCAGGAAAAAACTCCGGGTCTCGGATGGCAATCGAACCGAAGATTCTGTATCTTCGGAGAGTTTCTAAACCTTCTCATGACTGTAGTGACTAGCCTGTCATCTTCCCCGAGGCTCGCCGGAAGAACAAGTGGGTGGGGGGAATGTCTGCATGACCACAAAAAATGTCGGGGTTTCAGACGGAGATTGAACTGAAGATTCTGTTTTGTTAGAGAGTTTCTCTCGACTTCAGTCGCTACCTTATCGTATTTTTCCTGAGGCTCGCCGCAGCGGAAACACAATAAATAGTATAGGCGTAATCATTTCGGACGACTTTGAAATTCCAACTTCATCTTTCATCTTCTGGACCCCGCTCATCATTTTGTCAGAGAGTTTCTCTCGACTTCGGTCGCTACCTTATCGTCTTTTTCCTGAGGCTCGCCGTAGCGGAAACACAATCAATAGTACAGGCGTAATCAGTTCGGACGACTTTGGAATTCCAACTTCATCCTTCATCTTCCGGACCCCGCGCATCATTTTGTCAGAGAGTTTCTC